GACGCTTGAGCCGAAGTTTGCGACGGATTAACTTGCGGCGCGGACTGTAACATACTGTTGGTCCCATTTTGTGTGGGCTCTAAAAGAGTGCTGTCAGGGGGTGACATCCTTAGCTTTGCGAATCTTTGTGCGAGTGCATCGGATGGAGGACTAGAGTATCGATTCTGCTTTGTCTGTAGCTCAAAATCTTGTTGATGGTGTGACAAGGTCGGCATCTGCGTCGAATTCCTCACGGAAGAGGCAGCACTACTCAGAATTTCTGACTTTGGCCGGGTTGAGTGTGAATACGGTGGTCCAACCGGTTGCACGTTTGTCATTAGATTGTTCTCCACGATCTGTTGTTTGATATCATCCATCGTCCCTTGTTTCGTCCGCACCGCCTACCACAATTGATTAGTCCCCGATCTAATAGTCCAAGAGCTTAAAGAAGGCTTCTGGCGTATATGCGACGACCTACCATCATCAAATCGGCAAATCTCTTGAACCAAGCCGGTCTCTGGCTGGCTGTCGCACGATAGTCAGGGTGGTGGGGAATAATGTTGATGGTTATTTCGGAGGCACGAAGGTATTGCACATAGGCTCGATCTAGTTGATCGCTGTCGGAAAGCTCCCGGGCTTGGTTTATGGCCACTTGCGCTCGCTCAAGCAAAACACTAAGCTAAAGGTCTCAATCAGCATAAACTGCAATATCACTGTGGCAAGCGCTACACCCAAGTCTCAAACATACCGAGGCATTCTCATTGACATCCAAAGCTGCCGCTTCATCCTGTAGATCCTTTATGTTGGGAAACAACGGCGGTTGGCTTGCCGGGGCGCTCTGATTGTTGCCGACTTGCTGCGATGCGAGTCCGACTGGCCGCCCGCTTGTCGGCATGACTCCGAGGGATCGAGGACGCCTGGCATTATCCCACGGGGCGAAATCCGGTGGAGAGGGAAAAGCCGCTGCATCTGAGGACATGATACAAGACGGCGATTGAGAGAAGGGAAGCTTCAGTACATGACCTGAAAGTTGTCGGAGCTAAGGCGGGGATGGATCGGTAGTTGTTCGAAGGTGGCTCGGAGCGGGAGCAGATCGGAGGGGTATCCCACGACTCGACAGGGTATCCAAACACGTAAAGAATGAAAGGACAGAGGGAGTTATAGAAAGACAGGAGAAGAAGAGAAAGATGCGCCAAAGACGAAGCCCGACGGAGAATGGAGGAAGGAAGAACGAATAGACAGGAGGAGAAAAGAGGAGAGGAACGAGGTGGTCAAAGGCAGACGAATTGCGGGATGTTGTATGATGGGGCGGGTGTATGTACAGTACGGTAATGGATTCGCAGGAATAATGCCCACTTTGCCGCTTCACCGCCCTAGTTAGGCTATGACGCCACATGTTACGGGTCCTTACCATTGTTTGCCTGGGGCCTGATCCCCGCTGACTCACCGCCCCCGCCAATATTAACTAACTAAGACTAAGGACTGCCGTGCCAACATGCTTGTCCCATGGAAGGTAACTTATGCACTCCCGCGTACCTACCAGTACTAGACTAAGGGTAAGCTTAGTTACCTCCCATTTACCTTACTTACACTCCCTCCGACATTATCCCTCCATGCATTTGATCTGCCTGGAGCTCAGTGTTATGTCTCTATTGCTGCCTTGATCGCCCTTTCTTATCGGTCTCTTCTCATTCTGCGCGAAAAAAGCCCTTCCGATTATTCGCCAAGTCTCAGTCTCCACCTCCTTCTCCTGCTGCTACTCCAGCTGCTGCCCAACGTCATAGCCATCTGGTACCTTCGTCGCCGTCCCCAGCAGATCGTCAATTGCGCATCATCACAACATGGCGGGGTGGTTTTCGTCAGCGTCTTCGCTCGATGATCAGGTTGAGAAGGCGACTGCCTCGTCTTTGTAAGTTATGGCTGTTCCCTCAGCATGCTGCCTTGGCTTGCGGTCAATCACATGCTACGACTCACTGACACGCCAATAGGGAAGACATCGCTCTCAACCTCGAAATTTCCGACTTGATAAGATCAAAGAGCGTTCAACCGAAGGAGGCGATGAGATCTTTGAAGAGGCGGCTTGAGAATAAGAATCCGAACATCCAACTAGCGACCTTGAAAGTGAGTCGCAAGACGTCTACCCTCCTTACACTCCGCCCTGGGTCTAGCTTAGAACTGACGGTGAAATGCATCGCAGCTGACAGACACATGTGTGAAAAATGGCGGTACTCACTTTTTGGCGGAGATTGCATCCCGGGAGTTTATGGACAACCTCGTCTCCCTCCTCAAGACCGAGGGCCTCCCACTGAATGACGAAGTGAAAGCGAAGATGTTAGAATTGATACAAGACTGGGCCATGGCAGCTCAAGGCCGTATGGATCTGAGCTATGTTGGTGAAACTTATCGGAGGCTTCAGGATGAAGGCTTCCGGTTTCCACCCAAGACTCAAATCAGTGGAAGCATGCTGGAAAGCAGTGCGGTGAGTTGGCCTTGGTACTGTGATCGCTACGGCGCCCTCGAACTGACATGAGTGTTCCTGCCAAAGCCGCCCGAATGGATTGACTCCGATGTCTGTATGCGCTGTCGCACTGCCTTCAGCTTCATGAACCGCAAGCATCATTGTCGCAACTGCGGCAATGTCTTTGATGCACAGTGCTCCAGCAAGACGCTTCCTCTGCCTCATCTCGGAATCCTCCAGCCTGTTCGAGTGGACGACGGGTGCTACGCCAAATTGACTTCGAAGGCCTTTTCATCTGCGGCCCTTTCCGATAGATCTGCATTCAAGAACAATTCAATCACCAAGTCTAGCGTCATGGAGCCTCGTGGGGGACGAGCGGAGAGCGGCTTCGATGACGATTTGCGTCGTGCTTTGCAAATGAGCTTAGAGGAGGCTCAAAATAGGGGCTCAAGCGGTTACGTTCCACAGAGCAAGATCGTCCCGGAACCTCCCAAAGCCGTCAGTCAGCCCGGTGTAGAGGAAGAGGAAGATGCCGACCTGAAGGCTGCCATCGAGGCATCATTGCGGGATATGGAACAACACAAGCAGAAGCACGCAGCCGCCCTCAAGAACGCCCCGGTGGCTGATACGTCGACTCATGCGGGCGCAGGGGTGGCGCCGATCCCCAAAAATCCCTATGAGCTTAGCCTTGTGGAAGTCGAAAACATCCATCTCTTCGCAGCTCTCGTTGACCGACTGCAACATCAGCCCCCGGGCACTATTTTACGGGAACCTCAGATTCAGGAACTATATGAGAGCATGGGAGCGCTCCGGCCTAAGTTGGCTAGAAGCTATGGAGAAACGATGAGCAAGCACGGTACGTATGTTGTTTGTTTTGGAGGATTCGTCGCGGCAGCTAATGAGGCGCGGGCGTAGACACTTTGCTGGACCTCCATGCCAAGCTCTCGACGGTCGTTCGCTACTATGACCGCATGCTAGAGGAACGTCTCTCTAGCGCCTACGCTCAGCATAACTTGGGTTATGGGGGGGTCCCTGGCGGATCCCCATATCCCAATATCTACCCCACGATGCCCGCTCCCGCAATGGAGGCGAAGTCAGGCACCGAGAACTATTATTATGGAAATCCCAACGTCACCGAAACTTTCCAGCCTTCCGGCACACCCTACTCGCAGCCTCCGTCAGAGAGAGAACACGCCAGAACCATGAGCCCGAGTTTATACCCACAGCCCTCTCAAACTATGCCACCCAACGCGCCGTGGACTGGAAACCCTCATGCGGTGGCATCACCTCACATAGGCGGCGCCAATGCGGCACCCCCCAGCAATCCTTCGGCCTATGCGCCAACCACGCAATTTTATGCACCTCCACCGCACCCGGAACAAGACCCGAGTCCATACCAGCAACCGCGGCATGGGGAGCCGGAGGCGCCTTATCAACCGTCGCCTGTGATGCGACATGACTCTCACTATCAACCGTCGGCCCCTGGCGTTCCGAGCGCCCCGGATCAATCACCCCCGGCAGACCCAGTGTCGGCCCCCGCTTACTCGCACTATCCTCCGGATCCTAGTTCGATGCAACCTGGCGGTCAACCGTCAGCGCAGCAGCAGCCGCCGCAGCCCGCGGACCCGTCGGGATCGTCATTCTATAGTCAACAACAGCCTTCTCCCGGCCCTACAACTTTCGCAGGATATCCACAGGGGATTCCAACACATCCCAACCCACAGGGAGGAGAATATCCTTCTGGTAGTGTGCCTGGTGCGCATCCATCATATCAACAAACAACCCCGTCCCGGCCGCCGGTCGAGGAGAGTTTGATTGAGTTGTAGAGTGGACAGGGTGAATAGGGTGAGTGGTCAGTGCGGTGAGGAGCGGTCAAGTTGTGGTTTTGGAGGAGGGGACGATTCCTCGATTGGTGTTTTATTCTTTATGTTTTATGTAGGCTTTTTGCACAATGATACCAGATGGATTGGTTACTTTTGCAGGCCCCGAAATTGAATTGATGTTCTATCTATTTTCTCCCATTTTTGACGACGAGGATGAATGATTATAGGAGAATGAGTAAAGTAATAATACAGGAGTGGCGATGCTTCCGTGCTTTTCAATTCCACAGGGCGAGGCCAACCAAATCCGGCCTGGTTTGCTGGTCTGGACTCTCTATTTACCAGTTTTCCTTCCTTCCTTCCTTCCTTCTCCTCCCTTCGTTAGTTCTTCCATTCTTCCACGTCTTCTTCTTTCCTTTCTCCCCTCCCGCTGATTCTCCCTCCCTCTCCCTCTCCCTCTCCCCTCACCAAACACCAAACGTTACCTCCCTCGTTTCTAATTGCAACTCTCCCCTCCATCCCCATTCCTCCTAAAGTCACTTTTGCTCTGCAATTTTGTTCTTCCCGTCTTGATTTAATTCCTCATTCTTTCTTTCTATTATAGCCAACCAGCTCAATTCCCTGGTGCGAGTGGTGTAACCGGACTCTGCGTCATTTGCGTCTCCCCCGCAATCGGCGGGAATCTGGACCGTCACCGATTTGTCTCTCTCTCCTCTTCTTTTCTCATTCTCCCGTTTAACCCCAGTACTTCTTCACCACAGACCAAGAGACTAAAAGCAACACCACTTCTGCTGCTCACTGACCCGCCCCGTCGGATACATACAATCTGCTGTATCACTTGGTGGATGCTTCCTCCAATCGCCGTTGAATCGGGGAAACTTCCCGGCTGCTGCTCGTCACCCGATCGGGGCCAGCCCTTCCTTGCTTAAGCCTTAAACGCCTCTTTCTTTTTTTTTGTTTTTTTGTTTTTTGTTTTTTAACCACAAGTACCAACTACGTACTTTCTCCTCTTCTGCCACGGCCGCCATGCCGACTTCCAATACTTCTTCCCCCGTCAAGCGCCCTGGACTGGGCCGTCGTGCGGTTTCCTCTCACGCCGTTGTCACGCGCACCCCTTCCAACCAAGGCGAGCTGTCTCAGTCCCAGTCCTCCAACACCACCCAGAAAGCCCCCTCAAGGCCCCATCGTCCCCATCTAGTCGGCGGGGGCCATCGCAACCATCACCGCAACCCCTCTTTCGGCAAAAATCTGCACAAGCTACAAAGACACCTCTCCAGCCAACAAATAGGCCCTGAAGCTACCGCTCGCGTGCATCAGCGCAAGAAATCCGCCCCTGCGACACCTGCCGCTAGCCCGCGCGGGCATCACGTTCGTTGGGATGGAGTTGCGGAACAATCACACCCCACAACAGGATCAATGAAGAAGAACAATTCGAGTCCGGCCCTTCGACGCAATACGTCAGTCGTCCTCGGAAAGAAAGCGCTGGTCACCGACCGTCCACATACGAGCTCCGGAAAGAAGAAGACAGTGGGATTCGAGTTGGCGGATTCCGACGACGAAGCTGATTGGGAAGATACTACGCAGTCGCCTGAAAGCACGAGACGCAGCTCGGTGGCACAATCCAAAGAGAGTGTGGAGAATCCTGCTGTTCTGGTCGACCCCCTTACCTTCGTCAAGCGCTCTTACCCGCAATTTCCTCGAGCCACCAGCCTGCCAGAGTCGACGAGCAAGAGTTTCGGTGACGACAACTATTCCGACGAAGAAGATCACGACGACCACGGCCACGACCACGAAGAAACCGCACAGCAACCTCCGTCCGATTCTGACGAGACACCCGTCGAGACTACCCGCCCTAGTGAGAACGGCGTCATCGCAACGCGGATTCTGGGTCCGTCTATCTCTGCCAAAGCACCACCGGCCATGTCTTCCATTTCTGCGACCGTCAAGCCGACCGTGATGGATCAGTCTTCTCGCAATGTATCCCTGACCAACTTAGCGTCTGCCCATGACGGTTCCCGACGACCGATGTCTTCGTCTATCACCACGTTGGCGAACACGCCAACCCATGCTACGTCCTCATCCATCGAAGGCGGCGTCTCCAAATTTATCATCAATAACAAACCAACGACAAACTCATTCTCCCGCATAGATTCGGATCCAAACACCCCATCCTCTTTCCTCCCACACTATCATCCCCAAACTCCACCATCGCCAAATCGCGCAACTAGTACGAAAAAGCCACGAGCGTCGCCGCCTTCAAGGCCCGCTGGCGCAGAACCCCATTCTCGCACACAGCAAAAACTGTGGTTGCAGCGAACTGCAGCATTGAACACATCACCGCCCGACGGCGTGTCCACCGCAGCCCCCCCCTCTGTCGTGGACCCGATCTTTGCTGCACCTCACACACGACCGGGCGCTGGGGCTTTCGAGCCGGGCAGAGGCCTTGTCAACGGATCCGCTCGAGCCAGTGGAACGGTACATGACAATGAAACCAAGCACGTTCGGAAAGCATACGAGAAAACTACCCTGGAGTTGACCGTTGTCCGCCGATTCCAGTCTCCCACCGGCGACAGCTTCAGGCGCTTAAATGCCATTCTGAATGATCCACGAGGCGCGACTTCTAGCTTAGACCGACATTCGTCGCTTGGCAAACCCATCAAATCTGCGCCAGCTTTAACTCACCTCCGCGGCAGCAAACAACAAGACGGCAGCCAAGGCAGCGCCAGCCCCGAACCCAGACAATTAATCGGACGAAAGCATGCGGACATGCATACATCCGTCTCTCAGACTTACCTTCCAGAACCCGACGACCTCGTGAATGAGCCCACCGACCCGCCCCCCTCCGGCAGCAAATCCCAACATCCCTCTCACCGCATTCTCTCCACATCCGATGAAGCCGCCCACCCCGACCCTGCCACCTCGGCAAGAGTGCCGGGCTCGGAAACATTACAAGACCCCGACGAAACCGAACTCATGATGCGTCGCATCTGGGAAAGTCGGGAAGTAGCGACAGCTGGCTAGTAATGGACGAGCGGAACGAACCCTTCTCTGTACAATTATACCTCTTTCATTACATCTCTTCTACCATATTTCCCCCATTCGATATCATCCCTCGTCGTGTACAAGGTGTTAGCAGGGGGTTGCCGTTCTTCTTCTGTTAGCGTTTCGAACAGCTTCCATATTACATTTCGCCCATGGATTTGCATGCTTCTGGGTCCATTCTGAGATTACCGAGCTATTTACTCCATTATTAGCCTAGTTCCCTCGAAGTCTTTCCCACTTCTTCAACCTATTAACTAATTCTATAGCGATGATCTAATAGTTTGAATTATTTCTTGCCGTTGGTACTTTGGTCATATCGATTACGACGAATGCCCGCCTTCATTGAAGAATTGTCATTTTCAGTATCTGTATCGCTCCCTGTTGATTGATTCCCATCTAGTCCATCTTGGTGACTTTTTTTTCAATTAGTTTTGCTATTCTCTGCGCAAGTTCTCCTTCTTGGACCTGTGTTCTGGTTTCACCACCAATGCCGAGTTATTGCGATAGCTATACAGAATATATCATAGTGTCATAATTTCCTCGTCATTCCTCGGTTCGAATGGATATAAGCGGAATGTAGTTCTAAGAAATCCGTTCAATTCATTATCTAGATAAGGCGGTGTTTCACTTTCATACAAGTCACGCAATGCATAATCCACTAGGTCGATTAGGGAGAGAGAAATATAGAGAGGAGATGGATATCATATCTTGTGTGGTGCAAGTAGTGTGTCTATTGTTATTATGACATTGCGGGAGAAAGAGTTCCCTTCCCTAAACCGAAAGGTAAAAAAGAATTCTATGCAGAAAGCTCATAACAACATGAGGGGGTGTAACGTTATTGACGCACACACACCGCCGGGAGGTGGTACAGGTGGATGTTGTTTGTATATGTGTATGTAGTGAGTGTGTGAGATTCCATTTCACGCGGAGGTCTTTTCCCGAGGTTTGCCGCGTCCACGAGAGCTGCCACCGCTACCACCACCTCTACCTCCGCCACCACCTCCACCTCCACGTCGTGAACCACCGCTTCCACTGGATCCGCCGGCCGCGGCTCCTGGTCCATCGAGATGATTCCCGTTCGGAATAGTCCGAGGTTGAGAGTCACGACGAGGGGTCGGATGAGGATGATGGCCGTTCTGTGCCGAGGGAGTGGTCATGGTGGTAAATTCGTTACGGGGAGGTTGGGATTGTGCGGACGAATTCGATGCGTCTGCCGAACCAGCAGGGCCTTTTCCGCGCTTTTTGCGGTGCGGGAGCTGTTGCTGCTGTTGCTGCTGCTGCTGCTGCTGTAGCGGTGGCTGCTGACCTAGGTCTTTGCCCTGCCCTTTTCCTTTTCCTTTGCCTCGGCCCCGATATGACCGCAAGGTCCCCTTCTCTTCTTTGTCGGCGGCGGACGGGGCCGTCGTGACGGGGTCCGGGAGGCCCTGGATGCGTCGACTCTCTTTATCCCACCACGCTTGGAACTCTTGCTCGAGTTGGATATCTTCGAGATTGTGTTTTGCGGTCGCTGCTTCGCGGATCTCGTCCTTTTCGGTTTGTTGTTGCATGAGGATTGTGGCGAGGGAGAGGGAGCTGGAGGAAGGAGAGTGAAAACTCGTTTGGTATGGTTCGGGGCGCGGGATGTGGCGGATGGACTGGATAGCCGGCTGGGGAGTGGCGAGGGGATTGGAGGAGGCTGGGGTTGGGGTGATGGGTTTCGAAGGTTGAGGCCGCGAGGGCGTTTGTTGAACATTGACGGGTCCCCCACTGCCTGGGGTCTGCGCGGGGATGGAGCTGGGTTTCGTGCGGGCTGCCGGGGGCGTCCCGGCGACAGTTTGGCGGAGGGTCATGGAGGGTTTGGGAGAAGCCTTCGCAGACTCTGCAACAGGACTACCAAGCCCACTCGCTATAGGAGCAGGTTTGCCTGGGGTGGTCCTTTTCCACGGGTTTTCAGGCGCCTCTTTTGCCTTTTGCTGAGCAGCAAGCACCTCCTGCATCTGCTGTTGCTGAATCTTCTTGCGCTCCTTCTGCGACATCTTCGGCGCAGGGTTACTGGTACTCTCTCGACGAGCAGACATGCCTAGGCTGAGATTCGAAATCCGGTTGCCCGAGGTTTCATTCATAATATCCTTGAGATTCTTCTTTGACGTGGAAATCGCCGATGCGCTCCATGGGGTCTGGGTACTCGAGCTTGGAGGTGAAGATAATAGATCCTGTTTCCTATGGCGTGCTGCGGCGCGGGATGCAGAGGGTGATTCTGAGAGAGCTGGATCCAACGGCGAGGCCATCTGGGCATCTAAATAGCTGGGATCTCCGAGGGAGCCCCCATCATATGGACTAGCTCGGAGAGCTGGTGAGTCGATGGATAGCGGTGTATCCGCTGCGGCGACTTGTTTAGCATCACGAATTGCTACCTTGCCTTTCCCAGGGTCGGTGAGGGACAGCGAAAACTCGTCGTCCATTTGGAACATCAAATCGGTAGTCGACTGTCTGGACTTGAGAAGCGGACTGCGAGAAGCGGACGGCGCTCCATCCTGGGCTGGGCCCGGTTTGACCTTTGGAACCGAAGGGGAAGGAGCTGCCTTCTCGTTGCTTGTTGCACGAGGCTTTCCTTCAGAGCTGTCAATACGATTCAGGTGCGGTCTCAGCCTCATGAAATCGATCTTCCGCCTCCTGTCACCTTCTATGGCAGATGCAAGCTCCGGATATTTCTCGAAAATGAAATCCTCGGAATTGCGCCCTCTTGACACAGGTAAACTGGTCAACTGATTATCACGACAGACACAATCAAGGGTTTCGAGCAAGGACTCATCGAGATCTGCCAATAACCTACCGATTGTAAGCATTCCTGCCAGTGGTATCCATGGCATGTGCGAAGATAAAGCTTACCTGTTTGCCAGTAGATCCTCGAGATTGAGGCAGATATATTCTAGAGCCGCATTCCTAAACTCTTTCACGAAGCATGGCGTGATCACATTGAGCAAGTGGCAGACATTGCGGGTATGCACTAATTATCATGCATCAGTACCTCACTCCGAGCGGCACAACCGATCATGAAGCTTACCGAACTTCCCAAGCATTTGTTGACAGATTTGAGCCAATCGGTCAATCATCAGCTCATTCGCTACAAATGCAACATCGATTATCAGGTCAATGAACTCGTCTAAATCCTTTGACTTGACATCGTCGAAAAGCTCCTCCTGGGTGTCGGCATATAGGTACCGAAGTACAAAGTCGAACACATATTGGTCAATATGCTTGAGATCAACATGAATAATGGCGTCTACATGAGCACGGCGCGATGAGAGCCATTTACCAGCTGAGCGACCGAAGAATAATGCACTGAAGAAGGGGCACCTCTGACACAAGACATGGCTATGAGCCTTGACCTCACCCCCTTTCAAGTCGATGATCACATCTCCGCTGTCGAAGAAAGCAGGATCACGAATGGCACGCTCCATGTCATGCCGCAGAGCCTTTGTTGGTTCGATCATCAGCCTGGAAGCTCGTTCCAGAGTTGGTAGATTGAGATGAGTGGCGACACGCATCACTTCGCTCCGGACCTGGCGATATTGAAAAGACTTCTCTGATGACTGTCTAGCCTGGTGCCAGACATCCAATATCTCATCTGTGTACAAAAACAAAGCTAAATTCAGAATGGTGAAGATGTCCAAGGATTGAAAGGTAAGTTGCACATGGCCCTCATTGTCACGCTCAATCGATAAGATATCAAGTGAAGAATGGCGATCTGTATGCCGGAAGCTATGAAGGATCTCACGAAGGACCGAACTCCGTCCAGTCAAGATGAATTCGTGAACAGGAAGTCGTATGTCCGAAGATGTTGTCCTGATCCAGATGACCCCGGGAAATGCTTGGGCTTGCGAAGATTCGAAGTAAGGCTCCATTTCTGAGGCTTCCAATATCGCTTTCTTGATAAGGAAGGCTGGGTTTGAGTCCCGGCTATCGCCTCCGACCACATCCACCGGGCTGACTGTGTCTCTAAATGAGCTTAAAGGAGACAAGGGGAGGTAGTCCACCCATAAGGTCGGCTGAGAAACAAGAATCTGCTCCCGAGTTACCTCACAGTCGCGCTGTACGGCTGCAAAGGCCCCATAAGCATTGCTGGAAACGCCGATCACTCGAGACAACCCAGGTATCCTAGCGAATTTGTAGTCCTTGGCCGAGTCTTTTGACTTCCTGCGCTTCTCTTTGCTCCAAGCAGAACCGGATACGGTACAAATAATGACCGACCCATCCTGCCCAACGTCAAAATCCCTTGCTGCCATATGAGATCTTTTCACAGACCAGATCCTACTCGGTGCCGACATGGAGTTCCGAGGTTTAAATGGATTTGTCGTCGAGGTTGACGTTGAGGGGACCTCTGTCTTGTTGACTTGCACTGTGTATACCTCTCCGAAACTTGACAGAGCGCAGATGGTATTGCCAGCGGACTTGACTTTGACCACTTGGTTGACAGAGGAGCCATATCTCGTGGCCATGAAACTATCTTTGATAAACCTGGAACTGACATCTAGCGGGAATGATAGTTTCGAGTAACCATACTGGGAAAACACCCATACTTCATGGTTCTGAAGAAGTACCGATGTTGCCTGATCGATCGCGGATACACTCTGAATGGGAGCACTGAACAAAGATGCTCCTACGCGTCGAGGAATGATCTGCATTTCAAGAGATCGAGCATCGGAGTCGATCAGTCCAAGTTGTCCTTCGTTCTTGCCGAAAGTATAAAGACCAGAATTGCTGAAGACAACGGAGTGCACTGCTGATGCAGCCGCCCCGATGATTAACTCCTTCTTGAAAGAATTGAAAATTTGTCGGGGTTGCTTTTGCAGGGGCACATCGTCCTGATTGTTGGACCTTGGCAAGCTGTAACCCAACTGACCGTACTTGTTGCTTCCCCAGCTGAAGATTTCTCCATTCTCGGTGATTGCAAGAGTGTGGTCCTGGCCTAGGGCCACGGAGACCACCTTCTTATTGGCAAGGCCTCCGCCCTCGATGCAAACGAAAGTGAAACGTGTGGTTTCGTCCCCAGTGCCTAGTCGTCCACCGGGACCAAAGCCACACAAGAAAAGGTTCGACTCGGGATCGGTGGTAAGGATAGCCGTGTGAAGCTTAGACATAACAACATCTTGGATCTTGATATGATTGTTTTTCACAATTGCAGGAAGATCATTGGCACTTGCATTGTCTGAGTCCTGTTGAGCATCGGCCTTGCCAGTCTCCAATCGCTGTTCCTGAAATTCACGAAAAAGTCGTTCCAGAAGATGCCCTGGTCTCTTGAGCATAATACGCTCTGGAAACTGACGATCATCCTGATCTCCAACACCAAGATTCAGGTTCTTGTTACTGCCGAATGTAAAGACCTCGTCGCCATTTAGATTGGTGCTTGGCTTCAAGACACCCCTGCTAAAGCGGCTGTCGTGGTCAGGATCATCGTCCTCCGATGAGATTTCAGAGGTGAGATCGTTATGCTCAACCTCCGCAAACAATTTTCCGGAGGTGAGAGAATCAGAGCTTCGTTTAATGTCTCGCGCCGCTATCGTGGCTGCGTACACATCAAACGGGCTGTATCCCTCTCGATCCTTAATTCGAATCAAACTTCCAACCGGAAGCCCGGAGTTGCCCGCTTTGCTGAAGTCAGTGGCGTCGCGCATGTCCCGGACCATCAGGGCCTGTGCGATTGTAGCGTTTCCCGCATAGAGGGCTCGATGCAATGCCGTCCAGCCGCTCTCCCAGTCTTGCACATAGATATCCAGGAAAGGAACCTGGAGCAAGGCAACGGCAAAGTCTATTGCTGTGGGTTTTGTCGATGATGCCACAAGGTGTAGAAGTGTGCGCCCGTATTTGTCCCTCACGTTCAGTTCTTCCCTGGACAGGGTCTTACCAGTGCGTAGATTGACCCCACGCTCAGAAATCGGAGTCCCGGGAGAAGTCCCACTCAGCTTCTTGCTTTTGGTTGAAACCCCCGGCGAAGATGTCAGTCCTAACCCAGGGCTCCCAGCCTTCAAGCTGCCTCCATTCCCTGCCGTTCCAGTGGCAGTTGCCAGGAAGCGCTGGAAGCTCTCGACATCATCGTAGAGAAAGAATCCCCAAAGCTTGCTACTCATGTGCCCAGAATTTGTGTGTCAGAAACTCTTATCGACGCAGGACCAGAACGTCGCCGTGACCGCGGAGGGTTGGCGGGCGCACTGGCAGAAAGACTGCGGGAGACAAGAGTATTCTAACGGGACAGGAGGAGAAGTCGACCGCGGTCAACTCTTGGAGGAATTGTTCTCTAAGCGGTTTGATCGAGGGTGACAAGCGCGATAGACGGGGAAAGTCGAAGAGAGTGCGAGCGGGTGCGGACTGAAGGCCTGGCGGAAGCGGGCGTGTCGCGAGTGAGAGAAGTTGTGGTGGCGATGGATAAAGCTAGCAGTACACGAACAGTCCAGAACTCGACCGGTGGAGGTGGGGGGGAGGGGGGTCGGAGGGAAAAGGGTCGACACGTCGATTCGACTTTGAGACTGGTACGCGACCGTGTTGAGGATACGGGAAGGGGAGTTGCAAGTGGTATAAGGCGACGGATGGGAGGGGAGGTTCGAAAAGTGGGAGAGAGAAGAGGGGGATGGAATCTGACTGGAGTGCAGGTGGTAGTAATAGCAGTAATAATCATGGATCATTGATTGATGGCTTTCGACCCGTGGATAAGACCGTCCGGGCGGTGGCCAATCGGGGATTGTACTCACCTCCATGCCCCCGGACGAGAGGCCGACGACGAACCTTTTCTTTCTCCTTCTTCTCCTTCTTCTCCTTCTTCTCCTCAGCTTCTCAGTGCTGGCTCTTCTTTCCGTTAGGGCTCTCTAGGGCTCTCTAGCTTCTAAGAGGTTCCGTGCTCAGCTCAGATGATTTACCTCGGGATATATGCTCCCCGCATCGCGGGGTATCCGGCTTGAGAAAGAGCATGTCCACCGTATAGTGACTTATAGTTGTATAGTATGGAGTAAGCGCATCTGATCAACAGGGGCGGCAAATTTCGTCCCGATCGGCAGATGTGTGTCTTTTGGTTGACTCCAGGAATATTGACTCCAGGAATATCAAGGACAGCCTCTCATCCGAGGACAAACATGTATTGCGGCTGTGTGGTCTGTAGAGGTACGCTGGGAAGTTCAAGGTAAGTTGTTTTAAATAGTTACCAAGTTGGGTCGGTTGGAAGGTAGTCAATGCCGCAGACTATAAATGAAGCTGAAGACAAAGAATCACCCGATTGTGGCTGATGATGGTCAAGCCCCAATTGAAACACATACGCACGCAGTAACTTCCTCCGTAGGGAGTACTTCATGGCACAATGCTCTAAGGTCATAATCTACCATCCAAAAAAAATGTTGATTCTGCTCAAGAGGGGATGAAGGTGGTGTCCGACTCATAGATCCGGAGTTGCAAAATTAGCAGAGACACCCAGAATCATCGGACTAAGCCTCCATCCATTATCAACCAGTGCTTTGCATCATACAGGTTCACACGGTTAGAATTACTTCAGAGGGGCTTGTTATCTTGTCAGTCAAGTGGTCACGAGTACCTACTTTATCATACGTCTAACAACTGCAGAGGTATGCTACGTGCGCAATGCAGCTGTGATCAGCTCAGCACGAAAATGTGGATTTGTGTGGTGGAAGCGAACAAAAGGCCAAGGATGCTTGACTGGCCATCATTAGCGAGAAGGAAACAGGACAAAGGTACGAACGAAGCACGGAGTCAGCCAGCTTCACATTTCATGCATACAGCTGCATCACCAACTGGCCCCAAACAGACTGGATCAAGTCGGTGGTCGTATGTCGACCAAGCGAGCTCTCGACCTTCGGGCTCGGTCGCTGGTACTTAATCCTGGTCGGGGGTCTGATCCATATATAACTACTAGCCCTGAGTAGAATCATGGGTAGCTAGCTATCCACGCTCCAATCCAGAGTCATCATCGAAGAGTCTAGGTTGTCTTAGAGGCCTTAGCCAGCCGCCTTTGCAGCAGAATCCGCAGTTCCGGTGCATCATGCCGGTAGTGCGTTGTACAGTGCGAGTCCTGGGATTGGCTCTTGTTGCTGGGGAGAAGCTCCTGAGAGTTCACAAGGAATCGCTAAGGCACTGTGCCTTGTAGACCGGGCAACTAGCATCTGCTCTCCACCTAACCAGCAGGCCGTTGCAGGTGAGGCAGCCAGTCCCAGGAACTTGGGGAAGTGGTCCATGCTGGCGGGTGCTCCAACAGGGGATGATGGGAGCCCCATTCCTCTCTCCATGTTGCAGGTAGATTAGCACCTTTGGTTGGAAGAGAAATTCGCCGCTGACCGGAGGGTTTTTCTTAGGGGGTGGGGGGAGAGAGAAAGATGAGATGTGAAGGTTATTGGTAGAAGAACTGAAAGAATACCAGCTGCAAACCACAAATAATTCACAGGCCGATCGATGTCGCAAGCAGCTCAGAACAGCAAAAGAGCATGTTGTCATGGGCGGTGATTATCATGCAAGTTGATTGATCGCCCCAAGCGCACGCCCGCAGTACCCGGCTAGCCCAGATCGGGACTAGAGCCTGTTTCTTTCCATTGACCCTGTTCATTTATTTTCAAGATGAATGCATACTGGTACCGAGTATGTGTCGAATCTACGAGTACTCACATACTGTACATCCATGTGTAATTATATGTAACAAGTAAGATGAAGGAGGTATGGAAGTGACAGCCACCTGACGGAGCAGATAAATGATCATCATGCCGATTGTGGTCAGGAATCTATACTTAGGTAACTACTGTACGGAGTACAGTCCAGTTTATCAAGCCATGAAGTCATGAGGAGGATTTCCTTATCAGTGCCGATTACCGTCCATGACGGCTCCACGGAGCTGTTCGATCAAAGACAGGCTGAAACAAACCTTCCCTGTCTGGTATGTATGCCTATGTACCGTCACGGGTTATGCTCTTGACCGCCTTCCAATTTACTGAGACCTTTGTAGTTGCAGTGTTGTGGGTGTAAGAGGTGTGCCAAGTGGAAGCAAATTAGTGCTAAAAGGAAATAGAAACCGAAAATTCAAAGCAAGAGAGCTTAGTAACTAGTAATTATTTATCTATATCCCTTGCTGACTTCTTTCTCCAGAGCCTCTTTGAAAGGGCAGTGGTGGCACCCGCCATCAGCCTGACTGACCGCTTGCACTTGCACTTGCACTTGCACTTGCACTTGCACTTGACCCTCGAGTCACCGGGTGTGCGTCACAGACCACTTGGTTTCCGTACGGTACAGTACAACAGTTCGCCCTCTCATCATCCATCCATTGCTCCTCCGCAGCCCAGGTTCCGTCTGGCTCTCCCTCCCTCTCCTAGGTTAGTTAACTTATCTTCCTTCTGCCATTGACAACTACCACTACCGCCATCCTTTCCCATCTTTTCTCCCTTTCTCAACTTTCTTGCTCTTTTCCCCATCACCCTCCCCCTGGGCTGCATTTTTGAACCAGACCTTCTCTACATTGTGAAGCAGGATGGATTCTTGAATGCTTTATTTCCCTCAACGTGAGGACGCCGTGCACATCCCCTCTCCCTTTCTCCGCCCAAGTCGGTCGTTAATGCGGAGAAGCCTCCCAAGGTTGTCTAGGCCCCATGCTCCGAATGCTCTTCAGCATCTTGTTGCCTGAGCACAGCAAACCATGAACCTGATCCTCTCTCTCACATCTTCCATTCTGTGCCTGTTACCTAGCGCCTAACGCCCCCACCCCCCTTTACGGTTTCATTGTTGTTCATTATCTTATACAAATTCTTTTTGGCAGCTTGGTCCGTTAGCATGGCTATCCGCAGCGCAACTGGTACCTTTCTATTTCCTTGATCCAACCAGATCTGCTCCACGGTCCTTCTGGATTCTGTGTCTATATTCAACTACTTGCTCTTTATATGATTCTCAACTTTACAACAAAACATCATGCACCAACATCCTCGATCACCGGCTCCTCCGCCACCGGCATCTGCAACCAGGTCGAGCCGCTCGGAGGACAATCGAGAGCAGGACACTCGTCCAACTTCCCCAGCCTTCGATCCTAGAACATCAAGCAGAGGATTGGGGATAGAGACGGGCCCTGAGTCGCCAGAACAGAGCCAAGCTCGACGACCCTCAAAAGAAGCCATAGCTAAACTCAACCAAATCATATCAGTAGGGCTTCCTTTAACGTGCTTGACCTGGTCTCGTTTTTTTTTTCTCTTTTTTTGCTGGTGCTTTGCTGATACAAGTATTAATCTAGAACTACCATACCAAAGCCGCTCTGATAATCCTTCATTCCCGCGTTGAGCTCCCTCCATCCTTCAACAAAGGCTCCGATACTCCTAGGGTTAACCGCTGGGTACGTTACTCTGATACCGCCCCGTCTGTCTTCAGCTCTCGAAGCCGCCCAGAATAGATCTGACATGTTGATCACAACTAACACATTCTGTAGTTCAACGTTGAGCTAGAAGATACCGACGTGCTGCGAGAACAACTACGAACCTGGAGAACATGTGACGCGAGTGAGAACCGGCCTCCGCCGCTGATTATCGAGACATACCTAGACACTAAAGGGCTCACCAACAACCAAAGCCTCGTTGCCTTGGATGAACATGGGAAACGATTTGATGTTTTGGAGTCTCTGTCCTCGTCTCCAGAAAGGCGATCTACCGCGCCCCTCTCGGCTGGGTCTGACGATGTGATTCTGGAGCGGTGGAAGGTGGAACTCGGAGGCATGTCTGATAAACTACCGACGGATCTTGGTTCTATTCTGCCTACGATCTACAAAAAGAGCATCGTCCTGTTCAGGTCCTTGTTCACATATTCTAAATTCTTGCCTGCCTGGAAGTTTGCAAAACGCACCGGCAGACTTCGAGCACACCCGGCCTTGCGGATCAAATACCGTATTTCGGCGGGGAATCTCGATGCAGGGAGCTCGAAGCCAGATCGGTTGACGATGCCACTGTTTGAAAGCAGCGGTAAAGTTGTGGAGACGTACACCTTTGGGGTGACGGATTCACCTGCTGGTCCCTTCTCCGTCGAGGTCACATATCGAACGAGCTGCGAATTCCGTGTAGATGATTCTGAAGCCCTTCTTAGTTCGCGTTTCATGGGTGCCGATGATGAAGGCTTTCGTCCCTCACTTCCAAGTCGAGATTCGCATATGAAAGTCGCCAATCCGGAAGTAGGGTCAGTACCCCTTGAGAAACGGACTGTCGAAGATCCAGACTTTGGGCGTGCCTATGGCAGCCTCTCGACCTTCCATAATGTCGGGCCTACCACTAGCGCCAGTCCTATATCAGCCCTACGTGCTGCACAGCAGGCTGGCGCCACGTCTCCCTCACCACCCGCATCATCGTCTCGGAAGCCTCTTTCTATGAACAAAGCAAGTCCTATAGGCCGTGCGGCTGTTCTCGCCAGTGAAGGTAGCCCGGGCGTCGTTAGGCGGCCTTCCATCTCTTTCCAGCCTTTCAAAGCTCCGCCATTGTCTGCCTCTCCCTCACTTGTTGATCCTCCGCTTGTGGCTTCTCCGCGGTCGACAGCGGCGCCTCGTATACCTATTTCTGATGCCAAACCCGTGCCTCCCCCGTCTACAACAAGCTCTACCCGAAAGTCATTGCCTGGCACCTCCGAGCAGACTGTTGCTCCTTCGAGCTCTGCATCGCCGCGGCCTGCTTCTATCGCAAGATATAGTAGCGCTTTCTCGCACCGTCGTGCAAGGCCTTCTTCCGGTAACATCACCAGGCCTGAAGATGATACCTCAAGCGGGAGAGCTAGTGCCACCTCATCAAGCGCTCAACCTGGCTCTGGTCTACTTGCGGAAGCAACCGGGACAAGTGCTGATTCACTCCACGCTGACGATGAGAATATTTCGGACTTTCTAAAGTCGCTGGATATGCACAAAGATTTGCTGAGCAACTCGAAGTCGACTGCTCGTGACGATCAAGGACGCCGAACAACGGCCCCATCTGCTGCGTTGAGTCGCTTTCAACGCATGAAGGACTCCAATGCTGCTCTATCGGATTCCATTACCTCCTCATTGATGCTTCATCGCTCGTCCATCTCATCAAGCAGGCAGTTGTCTAGTGTTCCGCCAATGGTGGCTGGCACTTCAATTTCTACGGCTTCCTCACCGGGAAAGCCTATTTCCCCCCACACCCCCCACACCCCGGCTATTCCTTCGCGCTTGAGCTCGAACAGTATTGTTGACTATAATGATCCTGGGAACAACGATCGACGAGAGTCACATGTCGACCACAGCTCGCCCCTCGATGAGAACGTCAGTGAAGGAACGGCCATGGTTAACCCATCGAACGTAAATGCAATCGATATTCCTACGTCACCCACGTCACTCTTTCCACCCACGTATCGTCGGCCAAGCTCTGCTGCTCACCGTCGACGGACAATTACGACAGATGACGAGGAAATTTTCCCCTTCAACCTTCGCAGCATAAGTTTGGGAGCTGAGGACAGGTCCAACAGCAGCCTCAGTGCCATGCAACGTCAGCATGATTACGAAAGCGATAAGGCCAGTTCGAATCAGACGCATAGAGTGCAGCAGGCCCCGCCCGGCACTGAGGATCCATCCTTGGCACCTAGCACTGCAACACGCACGATGGGTACCCATCGAGGTGCAGCCGCGTCGGGGCCGTCAGCAGTCACGTCGGGTCATCATGTGTATCAGCCGCGTTTTAGCCTTTCTCGTGGACGAGGCCTCTCCGGCCCTCAGTCTCTCAGCTCCGGGTCAGGTAGCCTTGCACGTGGCTCAACGATTCCTTCATATCTCACCGAGCGCGATCACGATCGTGACGGCAACGCCAGTGGGAGCAACAGCGGTACCTCAATGATTGAGGGCCGACGACCCAGCACCGGCCGCAATAATCCTCCGCAATCGCAAGTTGAGGAGGACGAACCGTTGCTGTTTGCGATGAGTGATTTCGGGGCCTCTCGCCGAAGCTTTGAGGAAGGCAGGCAAGGCAATCATAGCGCTGACCCCACTGGTAATTCCGGCGGATCGAGACGAGGCGGCGGCAGGCGAGCCGGCGGTCTTTCTGGCTTCCCTGTCTGGCCATGAAAGGACTACAATCAACCTCTCACACCCACACTTTAACTCTGATTATCTTCTCGGATGCTTTCTGCATCTTGGATGTTTGATTTTGACCGCTTTCTCCACCATCTCACATACCACCAATTTCCTTCTATTCACTCACACATTGTTCACATTTTCGGTATTGTTTTGATGTTCATTTTTTCCCTTCATTATCTCAAGGCGGCTGGTAAGTTTATAGACTGGATCTCCAAGCACTTCCGCAATGTGCGTCTGGATCGGCGAATAAGGTTGACTTGATGTCCCGAATTTCTTGTTTCTTGGGTTGCAAAGCATGTTTGTCATACTACCGTTCTACTTCCCCCTTTGCATTCTGGCGTGGAAACAGCGTCCTTCGTATTTTCTTCCTTCGTTCTGTTTTTTTTTTTTTTTTGGATTATCCCTCTTGTATCGAATTTCCGAGCGTCTTACAGTTAATATTCTCATGGGCATTGATCTGTCCTTTCTGATCTGACTCTATTATCTTATCTTTATCTATTTACATTGCTACAATTCTCACTTCTCAATTCGCCACGTTTGTGCAGATCCTCGACCTTGCTTTTACTGGGACAAAATCCTCTTCCGACGCTATGACAACGGGACCCAGAGAGACGGACTGTAATAAGCTTGTGTGGTGGTATACGAGCCTTTGGACATAATACACCAGCTTCGGAGAGCCGTCTTAGTTTACAACGAAGTTAAAATTTTTGAAATATGCATTAACCTAACCGCCGGGGTATGAGTCTATGAATTGAGAAAAGAAAAAAGGAGAGAAAAAAGAAAACTTTTTCCAATGCCTTGGGGGTTTTAGAGAAAGGCAAACAAATGCGCCACCAATTCCTTTGCTGTGCCAATGTTCAAACTTTTTAGGTATGGTACATTGTATCTGATTGAAGACAGTTTGACTCATAAGATTGGCGATAATGATGTAGTGACTCATTTCCAGCACCCGAATAGCCTGGGCTGGGCTGCTGAAGCCTAGACTAGAGCCCGGCCGGGGCTATCGTGCACTTCCAGAACCGGTTAGCCTCTCGTTTGGCTGAACAACGAGAGGATGTGATTTGCCTGTGCTGGGCTGAGCCTTGTGATAGGTAGGAGGTAGATGTGAGGTCGATGGTAGGAAGGTAGGCGGGGCTAGGGAAGATCATGGATGATAAGTTAAGAGGAGGGGGCGGAAATCCTCATGGTGGGGTATAAGGGTGGTAGTATAGTTGACATGATCGGGGTTGATGTGGCGGATCCTGTCATGTGACGTGCGCCAGGAACCCCTCGTGCGTAAATGTTGTGAGTTGCAGCTGGACAAGGGAGGGGAGGGGATGAGAGGGGTCCAGTCAGCCAGCTTATTCCGCACGACACGATGACGACAAGGCTGTTGCGGGAAGCAGCTGGGGCTAGAAGCTGCGGGCATGGATTGACTCGGTATGTAGGATGACAGACCACCACCACCACCACCACGACTACCAGCGGTAGCAGGAGCAGGAGCAGCAGTTGGTGATCGGCCGATCTGGCCAGGCCCGTAGGACTCGATGGGTCGGAAGAAATGGTATTACATCTTGCGGAAGGTGTTACCGGAAGCGCTGCGACGCTCCTTGGCCCGGAAATTGTGGGAGGATGTGGACTGTTGCTCGGGTCGGTTGAAACTCTTCTTCGCTTGCTGTCTGCCAGCGCCGGGAGTGAAGGTGACTTCACGCTCGCCGACCACCCCGCCCCGACGAGAGGGCTTATCCCTGGTGCGCATGTTCTGCGCGCGCGAGCCGAAGGAACGGTCACGGGTCGAGCTGACGTTGGTCGAGGAAGAGATCTCCATGCGGGGCGCTTCCTGGTTGCGGCCCTGCTTGTTGCGGCGGTAGGAGGCGGTGGAGATCTTGTTGGAAGCGGCGGGCTTGGACTTGTATTGTCCGCCATCACTTTCCGAATCGGAGCTGTCCGAGCTGCCCCGGACGTCGTCGACCATCTCCTGTTCCACGGCGGTGAGGCCTCTTTCCTTGCGGGGAGGCGCCTCGACCGCGGTGCTGGGGTTGAGAAGCTGGAATTCGCGCGATGTCTCGTCGATGGCGAAGTCCTCGTCCTCGAAGAGCTTGGCGAAACGGGAATCGCCCAGAGGGTTCTTGTCAGCTTCTTCGGTGGTTGTGGCAGCGGCGGCGGTAGGAGGAGCATCAACCATGTCATCGTCGCCGCCCCTCTTGAGGACACGCTGCGCCCTCTTGCGCTCATTCTTCTCCTCGATGCTGAGCAGCTTCTCGGCAAGTCTCTGGTTGACCTTGACGGCGGCCTTCTTCTTGCCACGGATACGGCTTTCACGTTCCTTCTCGATCTTCTCCCTAACACGCTTGGCACGCTCTTCTTCCCACATGTAGGGGTTGGTGATAAGCCTGGCCTCTTCGTAGAGCTGTTGAGCCACAAAGTAACCGTGCATGTAAGGCCGCAGAAGGCTGGTCCGGCCAATGAGGTGATCCAGGTTGAGAGTCTTGAGCTGAGGAACGGTCAAGAACTTATAGTTGTCGTAAACAGAGCCCGCCTGGCTGGGGTTGAATGCGTTGGGGTCGTTGGGGTCTTCCGCCATTTCTTCCACAAGGTTGTCGAGGAACGAACACCAGCGAGGCGATGGTCCAAGCTGGGGAATCAAGAACGAATGCTGCAAAGGCCCTTCGTTGGCCGTGAGAAGCATTCCGCTATCCTTGCACCAAGCAACCGAGTTGATGTCCACAGCAGGCTCAACAGATGTCCATGGGCTTCCATCACGGGGATCCCAAATCTTAATGATCTTCTTGTCCGCCGAGAGAATCTTGGGTTCCAGGGTCTGTTCGCGGGAGGCGGTGGAAGGCTGGAGGAATTTCAATGTGTGAATGGGGAAGCCATATCCCTGGTCCTTCTTCAACATGGGTCGGGACATGCGCAGATCATAGAGGAAGATGAGCCCGTTCGAAGAACCCGTACCGAGCGTGAGACCAGATCTGTGAAATTCCAGCGCTGTGATTTCTTGTCGAGACTCATCGGGACCGTGCGCGGGCGATACAAGAGTGCCGATCCTGCTTCTCGCCCTAGGATCGAAGAATTCGACAGTCCCGTTTGAGGTACCGAAGGCAAGAAGATTGTGACTTTCCTCGGCAATTGCTCCTGTATTGACAGCGCCCGTATTGATTCCACCCTGCAATGTACCTCCACCAGCAGACGTAAAGTCATCGCCACCCACATCAACTTCGAAGCTTCGCATGTATCGTCCCATTTCCAGGTTCAATCGAAAAACTTCTCCCATGCCGTCGCTGTTGACACCAACCGCTGGCACCAAAGCCTCTGTCGACTGTCTATCGTATACCAAGTCACGTCCGTATCTGGGAAGTCTCGTCTTGTGGTGCATGCCCGAAGGAGTGTGAAATTCGAGGGAGCGGTCGGACTGGAGGTGGAGGGACTTGGAGTAGTCCGACGAGAGTAGAAGGAAGGTAGTGTTTTCAACATCCGTATGACGCGCGTCTGCCGGTGAAATCAGCAAAAAGAAGACTTCGAAGTAGAAATTCTCATCAAAGACTTACAACTCAGGGACAGAGCTTGTAACGAGTGAACGTGCATCTGCGGCTTGTACGTTCCTGCGGGGATGCGGGTTAGTTGATTGTTCGGAGCAGTCGATGCCTGCGCAAGCGCATACCTGTGCTCATAACCCAATCTCCATCTTCACTAACGCGAATGCATCGACTGGCTTCCTCGAACCCGAAGTCCTAGTGGAAGGATTAGAAACTGATAAGAGCCGAAGATGGATGGTGGTCGGGTCCTGACCTGCAATAATTCAACTCTGTTCGCCCACTCCGGATCATTCTTCAAACTCCTCTTTCTCCGCCTAGCAAGCCATTCTGGGAGCTAGAATCATATACCATCAGCATCAATCTTGCTGTTTTTGCAGGAATGCTACCAAGTTCTTACCTCGCGGGCAGTATTGGAGCCCGAGATCGCTGCAAAACCGTTAGTGTCTCATTCGGAATGTTATGACCTGTTAAGCTCACTGTAGACTGGGACCTCCGACTGGTTGGAGAGCTTCATGGCGAGGTGAGAGCGTTGAAAATCGCAGCGCAGCGCCAGTCAAAGTCGATAAGGGACTTATTTTTTTTTTCGGGCAAAAAAAGTTGCCGCGATCCAGAATATTACGGTATCGATAGCTGATGGAGGTGAGCACGTGATGCCGCGGAAAGCCATTCTATCTGATTGGCTGGGGCGGGCCGAACCAAGCTCCGTTGCTGAGTGGAAACTGGAACTGAATTGGTGAAAGACTGAATGGCGGCTGCGAAATCGAAGGGCCCCATCGGAACATCTGGGGGAAATCAGCGGCCATTTCGCCTCTTCGGGAATGCTGATATCGTACCTAATCCAATCCATCCATCCCTCCATCCATTTATCCATCTCCCTCTCTCAGGGCTTAGCTTTTGTATCTCTTCTGCTGCTTCATGGCGCGTGGTATTCTTTGACAAAATACATCAGTATCCTATATATACATACGCCTTTACCCCCCTTACTCCGGTACTACCTCGATCGCGAACCCTTAAACTTCCAAAGAGCGATGGCTTCAGGAAGCTGATCTGTTTACTGACTGCTAAAAGGGTTCCATGTTATCGCACTGAGATATGAGCATTTGGGAATGCGCTCCTGGAGATGAATTCTATTTCGCCAGTGGAAGCGTTCCTGGCTAGCTAAAAAAAAAACATTCGCCAGTATTTCCAAAGGGGCTTTTAATATAACCATGGACTTTCCAGGCGGGTCCGTCACCAACATACGCGTCATTGTAAGTCATTTGCCCGCAAGCACCTTAAGCATCCATTTAACCTGATCTCCAGGATGGATTCTCGCAAATCTATTGGAGAATTTATACCGAGGAGCCTGGTATAACCAATATACCAGGCGAATCTCCTGCAAATGGCTATACCATTTTGAAACATCTCAGCCGCCTCAAAGATCTTGAGCTCAGGCTGAGGAATCTGGATTGCTTGGTTTCAAGCTATCCTCGAAGACTCTGTCTCTGGACGTTCTCCTCTACTCCTGGCTTCGAGGCCCTGGCCTCTGTGGCAGCAAGTCGGGGTAAAGATGACACGGGCAGGCTTCTCGTCGGCTCTACTACGTTGAAAGGTACGTGATCTCTTGGAGCGCAAAGCTAGTCTTTTCGCTGCAGTGAGTGCTGACCCATAGCCTCACAGTGTCTTCTTCTGGCAGTGTTTCCTCGTCAGATTTGGTCAAGAATCTGTCAGCGGAGCCTCAACTTGCGACAGGCGCAGCCGGGCCGCAACGACCCAGTGCGCCTACACCGTTCGTCACGATTTACGCTTCTTTCATTTCAGCTCTGATGGGAACGTTAAGTCTTCAATTGATACAGCAAATCGGTGCAGTTCCGCTGGGGTCACGGACCCTGCTCACGTTAGACGAACGAGGTCTCCACGAGACAGTCGGCTACAGTGCTGAGAGCCTCGCTTTCGCTCCAGCGCTGACTACGCTTCAAGTTCAACTGATATCTGCTGGGAAACTAACTGTGGCTTTGCAAACCGTACCACAACCTGGTCTGCTGAGATTGTGCAGCCCTGAAGATTCTCCAGAAAGCCATGACATTCCTCCTGGCACAGATCTCTGGCTTTCTCCAAGCGGATCGATTGCCAGACTAGTGACGACAAACCCAGCTCAGAGGGTGGGTTCTTCTCCGTACCCTTACAGCGCCGGGGGCGTGGGGTCTGATAAGTCGGACCCGGTGAATCGCAAACAGTGGATGGCCAATGTGCTGGGCTGGCTTGCCAATTTTGGTCTTCCAGTGAATGGCATCGGTGAAGATTCATGGGTGGAGGTTGAAGTCTGGGAACCATTCTACTCTAGGCTGGCTGGGGAGACATGGCGGCCGAACGATGGGGGCTTATCAACGCTTCCTCTCAAGCGAATTCTTTGGCCGGCTATATACTGCTTCAGAAGGACAAAATCAGCATCTTCAGACTCCTATGGTGAAATGGAAAGCGTCTGTGCTGTCATTGATAACCCTCTAGAATTTGCAGAAAAGTGGCACGTATTAGAGAAGCCCAACCTTAACGAAACGAGCCCTAAGCCTCTATCTGTCGTCCAGGAAACAGAGACCAAGGACCAAGATGCACCCACTCCCGATACGGTTGGCTTACCTGAAGGACTGGAAAGCCTTTCTCGGGCTTCACAGTACCCAGACCTACAGACTGCAGGCCTTGTATATCCCACGCCACCAGACGGGGCCACGACAGCAGGGCTCAATCCTACCACAGTCTCCTCGGATGCTTTTTCTGAAGACTTATATAACGGTTCAGCCTTTCCTCAGCAGACCAGGCAAATTTCTTTCGGCCAGCCACACAGCAAGGATCGCTCTGCAATGGATGTGACAATGGGTTTCGGTCCTTCGGCAGGTCTTGCTGTTGGATCCGGACTGTACGATACCAACGATGATGATGATCTGTTTGGTGATATGAACGAGAGAGATTTTGGAGCTAAGGGGATCACGGATGCAGACTTCAGCTTCTTCGATGAGCCGGGGTTTGACCGTATGGACGAAGGAGATCACGCAGATCCCATGCATGAAATGCCGGATTTTGCTGTAACAGAGCAACTTGAAGCACAACCTACGCCGGCTGAGCACACCTTTCCCGGCTTTGTGCAAGAAGCTGTCAAAGATCAGAGGTTTGAGCCTGAAGCTGACAAAATGGATGTTGCTACGGAAGCTCAGAGCGAACAACCTCCGCATGAAAAGGATGTCCCTCTGCCATCGCCCCAAGAAGACAATGTCGGCACTATAAGCCCTCCACTGAGTCCGGTTGAGGTCAAGAAATTTCTTTTCCCTGAGCCACGAGCCGAGAGTCATCCATCACCCCAGCAAGGGCAGATGCCGGGGTATTATAAACCCATTCATTTCAAGCAGGGGCTTTCCAGCTGGGATCAAAAGTACAGTAATGAAGGAAAGTTCTGGTTCCAAATGCGTGGGAAAGACCCTATTGAGAACACCAACACCGCGAGCAGTGATATCCCAACCATCGGCCTTCCTCGCCACACTACAACATCGAAAAGAAGCGCGGGTGTAAACCAATTCGATGAGCATGGCAGTTCGCTGGACGACATATTTCAGGAAGCAACATCAGACTCCGAGTTAAGCGACGCTGCGAGCATTGACGACGTTGAGAGTGAAGCTGAGAGCGATCTTTCACCGGCTACATACCCCACTCGCAAAAGAAAACGCAGTCTTTCAAATTCCGGTACCTCATTGGCTTTGTCCCCAGAAAAGACTTCGATGAACGCGGACCAAGACGCAGCAACTCAGCGTCCCGAGGATTCCGTCTTCTTGGGAAACTTCCTATCAACCTTTTCCGACTGGTCCTTGACCGGTTACTTCTCACTCTCTCAAAACCGGACATTCCCTGCCCTTCTTCAAAAAGAATTGCAAGTCCAGATTGCCCAAATCCTGGTCGATCAAATCACACAATCTTCTCTCGACCACAAGTATGATGGGGTCGTTGGTATCCCAGGCTGTGGCAATGAGGCGCATTCCCCGCAAAGCGTTGATGACGAATCATTCATGGGCGGGCTAGAAAGGCTCGATTTGAATAGCTTCGTCTCTCTGCAGGATCCTGTAGCACCTTCGCCTACCACTCAGGCCCGACAATCTTCGCAGCGGAGAGACACAAGCAAGGGCACCATTTCTCGCCTCGGCCCACCACATCTACGCGTCTGCCGCGGCAAAGACTTTCTGGAAACACTACCACCAGCAATCCCATTCTGGGAAACATTTGGGTTAGGACCGGCCCATGGCCAGAAGGATATACTAGCTTATTGTATCCATCCCCATATCGCCACAGAAGCTGCGGATACCTTTCTAGACCGTCTGGGCTTGGTATATTCTGGCTGCAATCTTGGTAATCATGATCGGGGGAATGGCTCAAACCTGTTCAGTCGTGGTATGGGCTCATGGGACATCGATTTGTCACACACGCGCTATTCATCTATCATGCAATCCTTGAAGACGATCTGTGAGGACTTAGGTATGTCAGCTCTTTTTTACTTTGAGGCCCAGCGCTAACCCGGCTGTAGGAACGGCTTTGCAACAGAGTGCGCCCGGCAAGGATAACAATCTGGTCATCTATATCGTCAACCCCTTTGCTCACGCTGCGGCCTTGGTCGATATTTGTTCGGCCTTCTGGAGTCTGTTCCAAAGATATGTGGCCGATGCTGACAGGCAGCAGGCCCGCCAACTCAATGAGCTTGTGTTGCAGATAATTCCCTTCGACTTTCTCATGTCAAATGAATCTTTAGTCGTGCCTCCTCAAGCAGAGTACTTAAACTTAGCCCTCGAGGTCTATAGCCGGTGCCCACCAAAATCGCCTCATTCTAGCTTGGTGAATGGCGCCCCTCCAATGCTTCTTGCAGAACCACTTCCCAAGGCCATCAACTTCAAACTCTCATCTGAGAAGACTTCTCCACTGCAAGAAGGCAGGTGTCTCCACATCGCGTGCTCCAGAAGTCAAGATCAAAGGTGGATGAGCGTGGCCTGGTCAGATAACACCGGCGCACTGCAGCGAACCATGTCCTATTGTCTCCGCTTTCGCAACTCGTCCGCGGTGAGGAGCATCGCGGAAGTTCGCGGTGAAATCTGGGGAGCAACGAAGGACATAATGGACAGGACCCAGGCGCGCTGGCGGGTTATTATCGCCAACACAGATCCTGTGGATCAGGAAGAGGTTGACAGTAAGTGTGCCACTGCAAAGAGTTTTTTCATGGTTACTGACAACTTCAGCCTGGACAAGCCTCACAGAACAGTACAACAAGTCTAGATCAGCAAATCTAGAACTAACGATCTTGAGTGTCGGTACCACGCCCGATCTTACACTTGAGCCACCGTTCTTGCCCCTGCCCATGAGCGCAGTTAATCCTCTTGCTTCAACCACCCCCATTGCTACGCCGAATCCTAGCATTTCCTCACCCGACCAAATCAGCACTGCGCCCACTCCTCCAAGCGCAGCGAATGTACCTCTGAACGCCCCCACTCCCACAGATACCAATCCTGAGATAGAGTCTGAATCCCTCCTCATGGACATATGCGATGAGACGTGGGGCGTTGTTTTGTCCCATCGTCTTAATAGCTCTATGCATCAAACCGAGTATCGACCCGCGCTGGCCAGCGGATACCTACTTCGCAGGAGAGGCTCTACCGACGGGGACGGAGTGTATACCATGGGGGCTAACATCATCTACACAAGGCGTTCTTCAGCTTCGTATGACGCCGTTCTTCGAGAGATCCTGAGCATGTACCGTGATCTTGCGACTCTAGCTCGGGCCCGGGGCACTCGGGCCGTGCAACAGGGTACACTACCCTGGCATATTGCTACTGTGGTCAAGGCTCAGGCGCTTCTGAGCTATGTTCTCTGATCGTTCTTTATGTGTTATATTAGTTCATTATACCATGTCGCGGCTGGTGTGAAGATACGGCGTATGATGTTTTATCTACCTTTATTAGAATATGATCCCCAGGCGAACTGTATATAACTATGGTGCCTTGCTTTCGTTCATCAAGCAATATGTGGGAACGGTACATCTAACGTAAACGGGTTGGAGCTGCGTTCAAATGACTTTCACTGTTGTTGACCGATTGTTGAGAATATCATTCCATACCTTGGCTAACGAGTTCAGGTAGCTCTTAATCACGCATGCGCTGTTCAACACACTGAAGCTCTCTGTGCAGAGACTATGCATGTAAGTCAATGGTTGTTCGGTACTCGGAATCTGATCCTAGCCCCTAAGCTGCGAACGCGAATGATGGTTTGTGAAGAGCTCCGGCTATGATTCTGTCCACAAAGCACAACAACCGATGTGAGTAATCTCCACCAATCCAGCTTTGAAGCCAGCTCGCAACCACTAGACTGCCCCCTATTCCAATTCAAGGATAACATATTTTTCAAAGCCAGTTATGGAAATCTCCTTATAAGCCAACCCGAGATCTCCTTTCGTTCAAGCACCGGAGATAACTCTTTTCTTTGTGGTTTGAGAAAGCCCATGGAGACTGTCTACTAGATACGGAAGATGCTGGAGCTCTTCAACAAATTCTTTGACAAGAAACGAGATGCACCTGTTAGCAGCAGGGTCCGCAGTCCCAGAACAATGCTTTGCGTTCATTATAAAAAGCGATCATTTCTTCTGATGATTCAGGTCTTCCTCCCATCACGACTTTCACCTTATTCACACAAAAAAACGCAAAAACACAAGTCAAAACAACACAACACAAACATCATGCCTACTAACAAACAGCGCGTCCAGCCCAAGTCTCGGCGGTGGGCAAAGAGACAGCGACAGGCTCCCTCGACCAGCGCTGCGCAGAACGCCAGTCCGACCATGTGGCACGATTACTACAATGTCACCACCCACGGTGAAGCGACCCAGGACAGAGCCCACCACGTCTCATGCAAAGCGCAATGCCGCTACTGCTGGATGTTCTGGACCAGCCGCGCCTCTTCCCCGTCCGCCATTAGTCTGCAGCTCCATCTGCACTTCTGCCCGGGTCGCAGAAAGCGTGCCGCCGACCAGAAGAAGTGTAAGTTGGGTAAGTGCCCCCCCTCCTGCGATCTCGCCGCCAAAGATGAGACATCGACAAAGGGGGCTGAAGAATGGCATTACGATGGAGAACAGTGCCAACCACCCGAATTCAGCAAGCTAACAACGGACCAGATGCGCGAGCGGTTCGTGATCGGCACTAAGGGCTTCCGGTTGAAGGCGCAGTGCCGCGACTGCGACCGGAAGGTCTGCAATAAGCGGTATACGCTCTGCAACCATCTGGCTGGGTGCGCGATGCGCCGCAAGTTCTTGCTCTTCCGGGGTGAGAAGGCGGGTCGGTGGGTGAAGTGCCGCGATTGCGGGGAGGTTGTGAAGGCGGATCGGGGGGTGAAGATGGTGCATCTGGTCAAGGAGTGTCCTGCTAGGAGCTCTGATTGAACTGGAGGCTGTTTTCAGATTCCTGGTTGCGCTTGTTGAAGTAGAGGTGTCAGGCGTATTGAACTGAGTATTTGTTTTGGTTCACTTTAGCATAGGCGGGATAGCCGCATTCGAATGCTAATTTATCTGAATTTTGATTATCCGAGTTTATTGACCATTACACTGGAGCTATGAAGTAACTTATAGTATCTTATGTAAATCTGTTAGAAGATCGATGGAACCTTGTCACCGCCGCGGTGATCGAGTTCTTTCCGTGTTGGGAACAGACTGGCGTCCTCCATCATAAACGATCTTGAATAGGGATGACCGTGTTACCATCCGCAGATTGCGGAGGTGCGGTTAGTCCTATGATCAACGGCCTCATGGCCCATACCAGCTGGATGGTCTACCGGTTGTATGTGTTCGCTTGTTCAAAACACCATGACAAATGATATATTGCCTAATGGGGGAAGGACAAGGGCGTGTGTGTAGCGCCTGAGGTCATCGGGGTCATGTGACGTGCAAACGAAACCGCGAGTATGTAACCACGGCGAATTCTTCTAGATTTCTCCCTTCTTCACCAATTCCATGAATCTCGAAGGCATCCGACTTTCCTTTATGGGCCAGTAGAGTCATCAGAATCTCAACCGTATCTCTACCTTCAAGCCATCGCCATGAGTTCTCTTTGCTTAATCAACTCCTTCACACGATCTTTCCTACATGACATTTCCCCGACACAATGTGTAGATGAATATCTCATGTAAACTGTGTCCACTGCACGACACATCAAGTTTCAAAGTCGCCGCTTGCATTATCCACATACAAGAAAAGGACCAGACCAGACATACAATGAACATTCCGGCCTTATGGTAGCCATACCGAGTCTCCCAGTTTGCAAACACCTCAAGAGAACTCCTTGTCCTGTAAGTATGTCTTTGAGACGCGTTACTAAAGAGCCAGGTTCCCAATGTCTTGCTCTTTGAGCGCATACATCTTTCTCTGGAAACCTATTCTACATTGGACATTCACTGGCAATATCCGCGAACTCTTTGATGGCAGATCCTGACCCTGATGAATGAAAATCTTGGGTTTCCCTTCCGAGAAGATCGAATTGAATGTTGGATTCTTGCTTGAGAAATTGTATAAATTCCCGTTCAAGACTCCTCTTCTCGTCACAGTTGTGTTCTTCACTGACCGGAATCGCCTGAACAGCAACCTCACCTGACACCTCTTCAACTCTCACCCATACATCAAACTCAGTCCTCCCAGGTAAGAACGGAACCATGTCTGCGCCGGAGTGCCCGAAGCTCATTAACCCAGCAGCAGAAGCGGACGAGGACCTTCTGCAGCACTTCGACGTCAAGGTCGGCAAAGATGGGACCAAACTCCTCCAGTGTCACCTTTGCAAGCGGCTCATGCGCAATGTCACCTTCTCGCTGAAATGGCATCTCCAACACGTGTGCGAGAGAATAAGAGAGAAAGACAAAACCAGATCAATGCGCTCCGCCGCGAGGATCACGCCCGCTCCCACTACGACGACGAAGGTCTGGTTACTCATATCAAACACACCCGAATCGTATGCCGCCACTGCCACGAAGCTGTGACCGACCGCACGCGAGCAATGAGGGCCCATGTGCAGACATGTCTTCAGGGCAGGACTCAACCGGTAGAAGAAAACGCCTTCGCCGCCGAACTACGACGAGACTATTTCGAAATCTCCTCGGGGAGGGCGGCGGCGGCGAAGGACGGCCCGTCTATCGGAAAGCGACTTGTCGCCACTGCCAGGCTGTCATGCAGGACCGCCAGCAAACGATGGTCAGGCACCTGGTTGGTTCTTGTCGTGCAACAGGTGCATACGGGCGGGTAGAGGGTAGACCTGATACTTTGGCGGGGAGTGGCGCCACGTGAAAATCGGCTCTACTGCCCCTGGAAGATGGGAGGATTATAAGGTCTTTAAGTCTTCCAATATCTAGTACGTCTGGTTGTTCTCGAAATGCCCGGACATATCCACCATAGCGGTAATTGATCAACATAGACTCTTTGGATCTTGTCTTATCTACTTGCAGCCTGAATATATAATGTCTACTATACCAGGATCTCTTCTATCTATGCCCTACGATGTACGATTATCAACCAAGTTTTTCAACTGTATAACTTGCTGTCATGTTCCTTCGACTTGAGAAGGCCCTTTTTTTGTAAATCATGTGAGTTTCATTTTTTAGAAGGTGAGCCATACCCTTGCGCACTTGAGCTTCTTGCGTCTGAAGTAACGAATCGGACACTATGACCTCTCCTAAGCACAGACTTTTAGGAGCATGGTTGGGAGATTCCAAAATACTTTGGAACTCTCATTGGAAATGAGAAGCACCCTATATCGATAGTAAAAGTTTTGGATGATTTTTTCCGACGAAAGAAAAGCATCGATTGTGTACGGTTCTGGGGGTTTTGCTCGCAGTTACGAGTTCGTATCCAAATTTGTCACTCTATAAGTGTTTTCTAACACAGAAGTATATATCCAGAGATTGGATTCTGGCAAGGTGCAACAAAAATGGCCGTGCAGCTGCTGGCCCTCAAACTAAACTCCCCTATAACTTTCAACATCTCTACCTTCAATCTGTATTATTGCAGCAGCAGCTAGTTATATCGAAGCTATCTTTACTCAGCAACCATGAATCGAGAGAGCACGAGACTCCTCACCAGCCATAATGTAAGAGAGTCACATGACCGCTTATCTATCTAATCAGCCGCGCGATAACTAGCCCATCCATATCGGCGCCCCCCCCCCACCAACAAAAAATTTGGAAAGAGTCCAACAAGACTAGCGCCAGCGCTGTTCCTTACTATATTCGCATTACATTCTTCTTATTTGCATCAATTAGACCTTCACATCACTAGTAGTCTCTTTAGAGCCTCACATAATCCTCACCTACGCCACCCCTTCCCTCACGGTACTCAATCACCTCCCGGGAAAACCGAGTCCAGTAACCCCCCGCTATACCATACCGCCGCCCGCAGCACAACACAACACAACAACAATCCTCAACCCGGGCCACTGCAGTCCCTCGAACCTCCTCATTTCGCGCAACCCCCAACCCACCAATCTCAAACCTACCTCAAACCCACCCCAAAAACACACCATCACCAAAATGTCCACCCACCCCGAAGAACCCACCGCCACGCCCCCGGCCGGAACTAACTACCTCGACCTGGGGATCACGCTCGCGCTCCACAACTGGCCGGCGCTGACGCTGGCGGTGCAATCCCTCTGGGGCGGGCCGACCTCGGCCGACAAGCGGGACTGGCTGTGCGGCGCGATCTCGGAGATGCTGGCGACGCGGCCGGAGACGGACTCGTACGACCTGGAGGACGTGCTGGTGCAGGTGATGACGGACGAGTTCGACGTGGACGTGGACGACGAGAGCGCCGCCGCCGTCGCGGACCAGATCATGGAGATGAAGGCCCAGACGGAGCGCGGGGAGTACGCCGCCATCCAGCACATGTGGGAGGTGTATCAGCGCAAGGGGGGCCAGAATCAGGCTGCTGCCGGGATTCAGCGGGCGGCGGCGGCGGGAGCAGATGGGGAGGAGGATAGTGATGAGGATGAGGATGATGAGGACGAGGACGAGGCGATGGATGTGGATATGGATGATGCGGCGGCGCCGGCGTTGGTGCGCGCGCCCAGGGAGAAGGTCGAGCCGGAGGTCGATGATGATGGGTTTACGACGGTTGTGTCGAAGAAGCGCCGGTGATCTTAATTCCCTCCCCCCTTCCCCCTCTTTATTTCTGGTGCTTGATTACACTTGAATTTACTCCGTGTTGTATGTATTTCGATTCCCCCCCCCTTTTTTTTCCTTTGTTGATATAGATAAATACACTGCCATGGTTACTGGACTAGACTGTACTAGAAGACTTCTTTGGTCTTGGTGTTGTGTATCTGAAGCAAATGCTGGGTGGGCATGGCAAGTTTTATGGCGCGATTTTCTAGTCGCTTTCTATCGACTCAGCAGGAGCAAAAATGGAATCAAAATTCTCACAAAGAAAAAAAAAATAAGATTCATCATCATCAACCAACGTTAAGCTTGTCATTGTGTCGAGCCCGTGGTCCCGCCCATGCCACCCTAGATTGTCGAGCCCGATAAACTCTTGTCCTATTGGCCGCGGTAAGAGAGATTGGGAGCTTATGCAATGGATGCCAATGCCCGATTATTCACACATTTACTCGGCAACAACTTCCTCGTTCTCGATAAGCTTGGTGATCATACCGATAGCAATGGTTTGTCCCTAGCAGTCCTGTTAGCGACGCGCTTGATTTCAGCATGTCTGGGAAGATCGGCTACTTACCTGGTCACGTAGGGTGAATCTTCCCATCTGCTCCGAGTAGGAGAAAGGTTCACAGCAAACTTGTCCAGCCGTCGAGGTGACCTCTACTCTGGCAATAACAGTCATACCCTTGCTGGCGAAGGCGGGCGCCTTCTTGCTGCGACGACCGGTGCCGGGTTCGAGCTACAAAGATAAGCGTTAGCGGAGGAGCGGGCATTTCGACGAGAAAGAGAGCATACCTTGTGCAGAAGAGCGGCGATAGTGACTTCTTCAACAGCCGAGTGCACGTGCATAACGCAGTTGAAACCGGCAGAAAGAATGCCCTTGATCTCGAGCAACTTGATCTTGGCCTCAAAAGAGTGGACAGAGTGGACCAAACGTCTGGGAGAGCACAGGACGAATCCGGGAAGAAGGTCTTCTTCTTCAACACCGCGAAGACGCATGCGGACTTGGTCACCGCAACTGCCAGTGGCGATTTCGTCTTCGGTTTCACCATACAAAGCAGCAACTTCACACTTGGCAAGGCCGGGCACCACCACCATTTGGGAACCCTTCTTGACGATCTGTAGCATTGTTAGGAAATAGACACGAACAGCAATGGTGGGAGATGCATACACCACTGTCGATCTTGCCTTCAACCATAGTTCCCATATCTCTGTACTTGGCGCTGATAGCCATGGCAAAAGGAGCATTCAGCTTTCTAGGAGGGAGCTCCATGTCGCCGAGGTACTCCAGCAACGAAGGTCCATCATACCAAGGGCACACGTCCTTCGTGACCTATATTGACCAGTAAGCATATAGATTTCGTGATATGGCAGACTTTCACTTACCCGGTCCTTGATGTTGACCATGGTCTGTGCACTGATGGGCATGAAGGTCAAATCTGCATTCAATTGTCAGTATGTCTGACACTTCCAACGATAATGATGAAGTGTACCGACCGGCCTTTGCGTAACCCAATGCCTCCAAGAACTTGGCCACCTTTGTGGTGCAGACCTTGAAACGCTCCTCGCTCCACTCGACGGTAGGGTCGTCCATCTTGTTTACGGCAATGACCAGCTTGCGCACACCGGTATTTCTAGCAAGCAAAGCGTGCTCGCGGGTTTGACCGCCCTTCTCGAAACCGGTCTCGTACTCACCCTTACGAGCTGAAATGACAAGGACACCGACATCGGCCTGGGAAGCACCACCAATCATGTGGTGGACGTAGGCCTTGTGACCAGGAGCGTCCAGAATACTGCAGCTTCTGGTGACACCGTTCTTCAGCTGGAGATCGAAATGGGCGCGGCCAACTTCCACGGTCTTGCCCTTGGCGCGCTCCTCGGGGTTGAGATCCAAAGCCCAGGAAAGATACCAGGTCTCACGACCCATTTCCTTGGCGTCTCTCTTGTACTTGTCCAAAGTACGCTCATCGACCATACCAGTGGCGACGAGAATGCAGCCTCCCAAGGTGGATTTACCGGCATCGACGTGTCCGATGAAAACCACGTTGACGTGCTCCTTCTTCTCAAGCTCGCCGTACAGTTCGTTCAGGGTGGCCTCGTCGACGTCGGCCTTCTGCTCCTGGGCGACAGCATCGGCATGGCGAGCAGCCTTCACCACCTCGGCTCTGGAAGGGCTGGAGCGGCCAGGGGATGACCGGCCGGAGGCGGGAGCAGGGGAGGACTTGCCACTAGCAGCAGCCTTGGCCTCCGCCTTCTTCTCGGTCTTCTCGATGGCCTTGGAAGCCGTCACCTTAGCAGCGGCGTCGGCGGCAGCAGCACCCTTAGTGTCACCGGGGGTGGCCGTACCCGAAGTCGCGGGACTGGGAGAAGCGGAAGTGCCGCCAATGGAGAGGACCTTCGTCTTCGGAGCATTGGGGGAGTCGCTGGCGCCGCTGACGCTGAGAACCTTAGCCTTGGGCTCGGCGCCAATGCTCAGGACCTTAGCGGCGGGCTTGGGCTCCGCAGCGGGCTTGGGTTGTTGCTGAGGCTGCTGAGGCTGCTGAGGCTGCTGAGGTTGCTGCTGGTAGCCACCGTATTGTTGCTGGTTGTAGTATTGGTTGTAACCGGGCTGCTGAGCATAGGCTCCGTATTGTTGGCCGTACTGACCGTAAGGCTGCTGTTGCTGCTGCTGGTATCCGTATTGTTGGCCGTATTGGGGGTATCCGCCGTACGACTGCTGACCAGGAACGAATGATGCGGCGCCGGGGGTGAAGGAAGCAGCGCCAGGAGTGAAGGTCGAGCCTTGGTAGCTGAACTGCTGTTGCGGGCGACGGCCGTTGTTGTTCAGGTTCACACCTTCGGTCTGTCTGGAGAGCTCATCCTCCCAGGATTCGGGGGTTTGGTTGGCCATGGTGTAGAGCGCTGGAAAACCGCAAAGAGAGCAAACAACTCAGGCAAGGTCCCAGAGATATCCCAGAGATATCAGAAAGCAGGTCTGGAAGACGGGGAAGAGGGGTGAAAGACAAGGCAAAAGGCCAAATGAGGGGCGTTTTTTCTCCGGAGCCCGATTGATTTTGCTGCTGGCTGACTCAGCTGCGTCTCTTCCCCGCCTCCGCGTGTGTTG